CAAACACACAAAAGGAAAAAGAGAGACAGTCACTAAACAATCAGAATTCCCCCCTGACCCAATATAAATATGTCTGAAAGACATCTAGAAGGAAGTGAGCTATAAATACTAAAACCGGCAATTTGCTGTTGTGGGAAATGAACCAAAGACCATAAACCAGTCAGTGGCCCAGTAAAACATTGGGTTAAGCCATTACACAACACAGGACCTATGAAACTGGGTCCCCCACTACGACGTTGACCTGCCTGTCCCTTATGAACCAGTGTTGTAAGCAACAGGGAGGATCTAGTTCTCAATTTGTCTCTGGTAATAAAAATAATTAAATTAGCAAAATCCACTGACCAGACACCACTTATAGGTTGACTTTCACTGAGGCCAAAACAAGACAGGCCATGGGAGCACAGTCCTAAAAACAGTTAAGTACAGTAAGTAATGTCCGACTGTTCCTGTGGTTGACTGTTTCCCTTTCTATATGTCAAGTCACAAATATGGAACCTCAACAACTTCTGAGCAGCTTCTAGTGCCAGTAAGGTAAAACGTGTCCCACAGAATTATCTTTAAAAAAAAAACTTTAGTTGTCAAGTTGGCTGGCATCAATACAATGATAATACAAAAGGAGAAAAACACCCCATCCTAGTATGGAGGTTACAGTCTGTACACTATTATGTGCACTCACAGCTGCTCAAAAGCTACGTGGAGGGTAAAGGAAAAAAGCTGGCAGCAGAAAAAACTACCTCATACAAAATAAATTATACCAACACTTATGCACATTCAGACAAAACACACACCAAAAGCCAGCAGCAGTACAGCAGAGTACCCCAACTTTGTACACTAGTACAGAAAAGCGCTCTGCAACACATAAACACAGGCAATGTTACATGCTCAAAATAAATTGCATATATATTGTGACCACACAAATGAAATCATATAGGTACCTCATACAAGTCCATCAGCACCCATAGCCAAACAAGCAAGCAAGACACTGAGCACTCCCAATTCATTTACTTTTATTCCAGGTCAAATTCAACACATCTTATCCGCAGTGTATAAAAAAGTATACTCACAATGTAGTTGTAGCAAAAAGGTTTGTCCATTCATTACAGGTACCCAAATCTAACACTGCTGTGTGGCTACGCTCAGTTTACTTTTATTATCAGCCTCATGCTAGAGTGACAAATGTTCATCAGTACTGTCTGCAGCTCCGTTACTGATCTGTGGCTAACTCAGCTTTTACAGTCTGTCCCAGTGTGAAAGAGGAACTGTTCTGGTGTTAGTGGGAACAAACACAGCAAGCCCACTGTATGTATACAGAGAAGCTTGCACAGTAACGTGCTCCATGCAGTGTTCTGGGGTCATTTATGCAACTTTTATAGTTGCATAAATGACCCCACATTCTTCACATTTAAAGGTCTTGGTCTCCATTCAATGCTAAATGTCGACATTCTCAACAGCATCAGCTGTACTCAGTCATAAACATCAACATGTTAGCACTGTCGATGTATGTCAGCATGCTGCTATTAGCATTTATCTCACAGCAGAGCTACTAGAAACGCTTTTTAATTTTAGATAGGCTTTGTGTGTTCTCGTTTCACAGTCTGTTATTCAGATATATTTGTTTCTCTTTTTTTGTGACCGCTAACCCAGTGAAAAAGCCACTGTGCCTCACAAGCCACATCCAATACTGACACCATAAATCAAAGACTAATATGTAACACAACAACTCAGATGCCCACTACAAAGAGACCTAGTTCTTCATGCAAAGTGAAGCTGCAATCATTAGCCTGTGCTATTTATTGTTATTATACTCTATTTAATGAGCAACATTGAGGGCAGCATTTTTGTTATTTTTAATTTTGAAATAAGTTTATTTTTCAACTGTTTTAACAATAAACTACGGCTGTACTTTTGACAGAACCAAGAAACATGTACATGTATTTTTAATGCTGATAACAGAAATATGTATTATCTTATTTTGTTAACCCTAATCAAGGCCTTTCGGACAATCAGAGCATCTACATGTCTTGACATTTAATCAACTAATCTAGAATTATAAAAACATTATAATCTGTTTGCCACATATTCAGAATCTAATGACTATCATAAAATGTACTTGCATCTATTTGAAGCGTGGATTTTCCTCAGACAACAGCTGTATCCTGACTTTCTACGAGCTGAACACTTTCCCTCCATACGTCCCTGGACTAACCAATGTCAACGAACTGTTTTATGTTGGTTGAAGTCAGCGTGGGACCAGAGACCAGCAGTATAAATCACTGTACTGTAGTTAAATGATGGAGAATGTGGGAGGAGCACGGCCAGCACCTACTGGGGCACTAGCCTGGAGACGCAAGGAAACCTAATCTGCAAAGTTTTTATGAAGGCTTGTTTTTCTAGGGCCTGATCAGCTGAGGGCTTCAAGGGGCTCCTGCTGGTTCCCGTTGGGTTCCCTCCTCTCTCTCTCTCTCTTTGCCATCTTCTTCCAGGGGGACTTGGCATGTTTAGAGTCCTGGAAAGCCTGCTGTGGTCTCAGCTTTGATTAATGCTGAACACACCAGGTTCTCTGGCTAATAAAACAAACCCTCTCAGTTTTACAATGACATATTCAATCCCTTCTTGTTAATGATGAATAATCGATGACATATGAATAAAGGCGATGACCAAAACCAAAACAGAGACAACAATATAATACTGGTGATTCTAAAACAGGAACAAGAAACAAAAACATGCTGGTACATTAGTGCTGCATACAGAAATCTATTATGGATCTCCCAACTCAGTAGACTATATTAAATGAAAATAATTTAATTATGTACTGATAGTATGAGTCTGTTATAATATATTCAGAGACACCGAATGCAGATTTGCCAGGGAATTGGATCAACACCATAGTTGGCCTGAGGTGCTAAGATTTCTGTTTGTCTCATTGGCAATTAGGACCACATCGCTTTGATGAGGATTTCAAGAACACTCTAATGAGTACTGCTGATGCTGAAGCAGTAAACAAATATTTGACATGATTATCATGAAAAACAGAATGTGGATTTGAAAATGCTGCCACATCGGAAACCTCAAATGTCAGCGCATCCTGGAGTGTCAGCATCTCATGTCACTAACCAAATAAACTGTCTGCAAGTTTCTGAAAGTACATTTCGTAATTCCTAGAAATAAAATGACATTAATGGATGCCCTAGAGGTGGAGAACTAAGCTATGCTACAGTGTAATTACTGGACAGCAGTAATATAAAGTGTGTAATGTGTAGTCAATGGGATAAATTTTGCTAAACAAACAGGATGTTCCTTTAACTGTTTTAAAAAAAAAGTGGATTACACCAGCTGGGCCAAATCTACAAAGCCCTATAATACTGCTGCTTCTCACACAAAGTGAGAGAGTGAAGGGTAGAAGGCCTCTGGAGAGTCTGTCTCTATTGTATTATATTTAGACTGAGAGATTTCCAAAACTATTGGAGAAGAAATGAATCTAGGTCCCTCCCTCTGCTGCTCAGAAACTGATTATCCAGCCACAAAACCGCTGGCTTAAAGGTCACTTCATGTGAGATTCTATATTTTCTTCTAATCAGAAAACTCTTATGTCTAGAGCAAAACCCGTAAGTGAATTCTACAATACAACAAGTATGGTATGTGTGTATTTCAGCTTCTTACACAACACAACAAACAGCCGACAACAATAAACCAATTAAAACAGTTTTCTAATAAATGCAAACAGGTGCAAAAATTAAATGAGTGGTGTCTTCCAGGATGACAGTGCCCCCATCCATATTCTTAATGCTTATTCTTGCTTGGTTTACTCCTCTGAGTAGTTTTTATTTTTAACTCCCAGTCTGTTGTTCTCATCGTGTCTCCATCTGAACCTGTACTCACCTGATCCTCTGTGCTTTCAGCCACCGTCCATTCACGTTCCTTGTACACTGTTCAGCAATAAATCTCTTTATCAAGTGACACTAGTTTTGTCTTGCATTTGGCTCCTATTCACTAACCTACCCTGACAGCCCATCCACTCCCAGTGAAATTAGAACAAAGCCAACACGTTGTCACTGAGTTTTCATGTAAAAATAAAGCCATCCAAAAAATCTGCCTCTTAACTGCTGAACTAGATTATTAGACCACCAAATTTAACTCACTGTGGCTGTATTCTCATATTTCACAAATAAAATAAACCACTTCCAGTAATTTCTCAATCAAAATCATTTATGTAATTCATACCAGTGCCCTACAGTATAGCCTACATGTTTTTGTATTATCAAAACGATGAATACAGTTTTCTCCTAACATTTAAAAGAACATTGAAATTTAACTTGCAATACAGGACTTGATTATATAACTAGGCTATTTCTTAATTAATTAATTAATTAAGTAATTAATTAAAACGCATGCCCAGATTTGATAGACTAATTTAGATACAAATAAGCTTTTGATCTGCCTATTACTTCCACTGTTAATTACAGAAACAATAAGGGTCAGAATAAATTCTGGAAACGACCTATTTATACATTTAAATTCAGAACAACATGAAGTCAGGATTAAAAAGCTATTTTATCCACAGATATATGCAGTATACCTGTAGAGTAGCCAACAAAAATACAATAAAATGCCAAAATAGCAATGTCGTCAATTGGGTTTTAATCCTAAAATCCTCGTTTCACTAATCGAAAGATGATTTTCTTTACAAAGCAAATCTCTCTTGTTTGATTGCTGCATTGGTATTGAAGTCTAAAAGAAAAGGAAAACTGTTCTGCGGTTTAGGTGAAATACTGGAAAATTGCTCAACTTGAAACACGGGATAATTTTTAAAATAAACTAAAACCGAGACTAGCTCTTTTAAACATAAAGAGCTTAAACGATGAGTTTGTCTTTATTCTTTTGAGAATAGAAGCTAAACATAAATAAATGACTAAATAAATAAAACCCTTCCTCCAGCAGCACTGCACACATTCTGCCACGCACGCCCCAGTGAGTCCAGATAAGGACACACGGCGTCTTACCGCTGGTAGTCAGCCCTGCAGTAGACTTGGGTGTCTCTGAAGTAGCAGGTGGCGGTGAGCGGCCGCTGGCACGCGGCGCACTGCAGACAGCGCTCGTGCCAGGACGCGTCGTTGACCCGCATCAGGAAGCGGTCTGAGATGACCCGCGTGCAGCCCGCACACACGGCCTGCCGGGAGGAGTCCCCGCCTGACAAGGAAAAGGGGGAAACTATCAAACACATTGCCTCTTCACAGATGTTGTGATGAAGTTAATAAGCAGGTGGAGGCGGCGAAGGGGGTCACTAGCATTTCTGTAACCCCGCAAACCGGGAAGTAAGTAACACTTGCACATTATCCAATCTGCCAACAAAGACAACAAAGAGCCTAGGTTATATAAAACCCTGAAGACAGTGACGGGCAGGACTCATCGTTGGTCTTATAGCTGCTGTGTGTGCTGTAACCTACGCCAGGGTCTGTGATTTGCATGTTTGATACTGATTTTTAAATGTCATTTTAATGCTTTACGTACTACGGTTGAGCTTCCAGGACCTTAATTGTTTTGGGGTTGGGCACAAATTTCAGACACGTCTCCAAACATGAACGAATAAAACCGAAACTAGATACAAATTTATTTTTAATTAGGTGAACGTATTATTTTAATGCTCGCCATAACCGAGCATTTCTTTTCGTGTTTTCTTGTTCGACTGTGCCGTTGCCTGTTTACTTTGAATGTGTCCTATGACTAAATAAATAGAATGAACACCACCAGGCCTGTTTGCGCTGAATGTGGCATTTACTCTGCCCGGCAGCCTCCGTGTGTTCCGGGGCTAGTTTCACCCACCAGTATGATGAAGAGCAGAGCCTGTGCGTCACTTTGTGTCAAGGCCAGCACCATCTTACCTGGGTTCCTCAGGAAGTATCTGAAGTCACAAGCAATTACCACGGTGACATCGAACTGTTATATCTTCATTCGTTCAGTTACACTTGAGAACAGTTTCATTAAGGTCGTCTTTTCCTATTTTGTACCACAGTTTATGAATTATATAACGTGTCATGGAGCAGCTGTAGAACGGAACGCAGTCGGAGCTATATGCCTGTCAACATAACAGGAAAACATTCCTTTGGAGGCACAAAGATAAGGGTCAGAATGTGACATCGAAATTGTCATATAGCCTATTTATATTTAACAACAGGTAGCCTAGTCAGCGTAAAAAAATGTATTACAAATAAAACAAATAGGCCAACTAATTATTAGGCTATAAAATGCCAAAATGTCAATGTGCACAATTGATTTGGCCAGATTTAATCCTAAAAATCCGTATTTCACTAATTAAATAGCAGCCTAATTGTCTTTTTACAGCAAATAGGCTCTATTGTTTGACTGCTGCCCCCCCCCCCTTATAAAAAAACAAAACAAACAAACAAACAAACAAAACTCTTAACCTTTAAGTTTAAATGAAAGTAAAATTGTTTTGCAGAGGGCCATAGGTGAAAATACGAAAACAAAGACAGGATTGGAAAATTGCTCATTTTCAGACATAGGGTGCTTTTTAAAAATAAATCCGAATCCAGACTAGCCTTATAGATATAGTCTACCCTGTTGTATAAACAAACAAAAGCTGCAACACGTTCTATCTTTCCAAGAATTCCCTCCAGCAGCGCTGCACACATGGCGCTGTGCAGGCGAGCCTTCACGGGGGCTATGGAGCCAATAATAAAAACTGAATAAGGAGGAAGGTGCTGCCTGGTTTTTACTTGGAACTGGATCTGGCATTGACTTTAAAAGCACTGCATATATTCAGCGATTTAAAAAAATTAGAAATAAATTAAACAACGAAAAAGCTTCTGAGCAATGGCAGATGGAAGAAAAACGAATAAGAAATAAGAATTCATACTAAAGGGGAGACGTTGACTTTCACACCTAACGAACTGTCCGGGTCTGCTCGGGGACCAGCTCTGTTCCCATGCTCTGCCAGCACACAAGAAAACAAAACAGCATGAACTCACCGGTCATAGCATCCAGAGACCTGGCGTCAGTCTGCAGACGAGCCTCTATTTTAATGCCCTTCAGCATCTTTAAACGCGCAGACTGACGGCTGCCGCCGGACGCGCGCTCCAAACGCGTAGTAATTTCCATAAGATGATCCGCTCTCTGTGGTCTACCTTTCTCTGAAATTCCTACAACCTTGAGTGACGGCAAATATAAAAAGGAGTTAAATGAGTTTGTAAAATCCGAAAAGTGGAAATCTTCACAAGTTTTGAGTTTACAAGAAAGATCATCAGCTGATGTAAATCCAGAGGAATTGAGTGAAAAGGGTCCCGCGGTCCTGAACTTGATGTGCCATCGTGAACCCGCCTCTCTCTCTCTAAAGAAGGTGAGAGCGAAGACAATCCGCTCTGCAGTTTTATTGGCCTGGGTTGGCCCCGGTGGGGTGGGCCTGGGTGGGCCCGGGTGGACCCGCCCCCACCGGGGGCAGCCAGAGCCCTGACACTGCTGCTCTGCTGTGGGAAAATCAAAACAGGTTCTTCGACTGATAAGGGTGCATTTAAACCAGGCCACATCCTATTTAATGTTTACCATCTTGAACCCTGATTTTACCCTGTAACCCCTCATTTAGAAAATTATTCCATATTTCTGGGCTGTTTATTCCTGGCATCATTTAGGCCAGTGGTTCTCAGCCCTTTTTGCTGTGACCTCCTAAAATCAGCTATGTCTGTTTGAAACAATTAAAAATAAATAAACCTGAGTGGTCACATGGTGATAAAGGGTATGAACAAATTGTGGCAGCATAGCCTGTAATGACAGCTGGTTATAGCTAGGCTACATTCAAGGTAGGGGTGAACATTTAAATAAATTTTAAATATGAACATTCCAAATAATTATGAGACAAACTGGAGACTTTTTAAGCATCTAAAATTTTCCAAAGGGGTTAAAGGGGTTTATTTTCATTACAATCAATTAAGGATTGCACACATATAGTTGCACAAGAAACCAAGAACAGAAACAAACACCTGACATCACAGACTAAACGTAACGACAGCAGCTTCTTAGCTTTAGTCCATATCAGCACAGTGCCAGTCCACGGCCGGGTCCATTCGACCCACTGATACCGACCGGACCCTCGGCCACTTTGCTTTTTCATGTATACAGCTAATTATTTCATCTGCAAATGTGACATGTCCTCACACCTGCACCTTTACTTGTGTTCGAAACATTGCCAAGTACATATGGAAGCGAACAGCAGTGTGGGGCTTCATTTAGTGCTAATCAGGCCGTGGTGCCATGATATATTTGAGTGTCAAATGTGACTAAATGTGTTTGTGAATATAGCCTAACTAAGGCGACTTTCTAATAGCTCATTCTGCTAATTTTCCAGCAGCTGTTCTATAAACCAAGTTCAAAGGATAGAGGAGGTTTGCCTGTAAATGTAATGAAACACGAGGATAAAAGAGTGTTAAAGCACATGAAGACCTCTTTGAAGAACTGTGGCCCACACACTGACTTCCATTAACAAACTGATTATAACAGGCTTCTGTAAATGAGAACTGTACAGTCTGTGTGATGTATCTGAGAAGTTGGAGAGGTTATGGAAAATGAGGTGTCAGTCAAAGCAATGGAAAAACATGGGATGGAGACCAGACCAGGACTGGGATAATGACAAAGGATCCTTGTGCAGTTCTCTCCTCTCATTTTAACTAGACAGCTCATAATATTTAAACACTTCATCAGTTGTATTTATTGGATATGTGCTCCCATCTTTGTCCCTGCTCACTTATATTACCTGAACCTTTACAAATACTTGTGCAAGCATCTCAGCTTCACAGTCATCTGTTAATGCTGTTATTAACCAATATTGGATATCCATACTCCCTCTTAATCCCATCTATTCTTCTTATCATTATCTTACCAATTTCTGTCTCTCCCCCCATTGAACTATAAAATTTCTACTTCTCTTGTTGCATTTTTAATGGTTTTCATTATATTAGCTTGTGACCTTTTACTCCCAATAAGATTCTGGAAATGATGTGTTCTTTTTAAAAAAGAAGTTTGTATTTCAAGATTTGATTACACTCTCAACACTCCTTTGTCCAGCATGGCAAAAGCCTCTTTCTTAACTTACTGCTCTTCCTTCGCATTGACTCAGTTACTCTTATTCTTAATATGAATTCTTTCATTGCTTCCATTGTTAAGACACATGCAATTTTGAATTTCTATAAGTGCTTCAATTTCTATTCCATTTCCATCATTCAGTTAGCCATAATATACTGTACATTGTGCACTGAAATCTCTGTAACAAATAACTCTACCTTCTAAATTTGCTGCAGTTTCATCCATTATCTCCAATGATAGATGTTTGCTATTTTATTTTTTTAAATAAAATCTTTTGTTCATACTTTCATTACTATACATTTTTTATTTGTCCCTTGTCCACTACTCTATGCTGTATAGCCCATTTCACAAAAATTATGCAACCTCCCCCTCTGCGTTCACCTTTATGTCTGTCTCTGCCAGCATTACCATAACCTTTGATTACCACATCTAATTCTGGTCTTAGATTTCAGTAGGCTTCTCTCCTATGTCTTTAATGAATCCATTTCCCATCTACCTCAATGATTCGTTCAATTTTTCCCAAGATATATTTTTCACAGTGAAGAATGTGAAGATGGCACCAAGGATGACTGCCCTGGTTGTGTGCTCTCTTGTGCAGTTTTGTTTATTTGGTTTTCTGCAATCTACTCAAGTTAGTTTCCCCAGAGACAAGCTCTTAAACACCCGAGGGGGAAGTGTGCCATTGCCCTGGTGAAACTTTGCCTGTGAGAAACCTGAAGGCCACTCCTGTCTATTCACCTAAGTGAATCTTCATTCACTAGCCAACAAAATGGTTCTGCTTCTGGTTAACCAGGCTAACTCTGACTTCTCACATTCGGCTTCCCTCTCCACAGAGCAGACCACATAACAAAGTTATCTGGGAAAACAAGAGGAGGTGGAATCTACCTCTATAACTCCAAATCAGAAAAAGTTGGGACAGTGTGTAAAATCAAAATAAAACTAAAAACAGTGATGTGTAAATCATCTGTCCTGTATTACAGTGAAAACTATAGAGCAGCACATTATTCAATGATTGAAGTGAGTGTTTTTTTGGAACAAAGAATCAAATTGATGAGGTATCACATCAAATAATCAAACAGCATATTCCTCCACTACTAACTGTGGGTCATGTTCCTCGAGCTGCCGTCCTGACACAGTCACAAATCAGTTTAAACCAACTGCCAATCCAGAAATTCAAAATTTGTTGTCAAAAAAGCCAAAGTTGGAAAGAAAAACTTTCCAAAAAACTGCCACAATCCAATCCACGTCATATCCACCCTTCGCTGTTTTCACACCCAGTTTTAATGGCAGTTGACAACTGACACGGGTGAGCAGCTGAGCTTCATATGTTATACTGACTTGATGTGAAGTGACACCACCATCCTGACCAACATTAATTCATCAATTCATACTTTATTACAACGTCAGCTGTTGTACTTTTGTTCAGTCATTACTGAATAAATTCTAAATGAAGCAAAATCTGACTTTTGATCAATAACCTACAAAAATAATTGTCCTAATGAAACCTCACATCTCGTTGTCTCTATGCATGCAAACTAGCAGACATATCAAAGCAGAACTGGTATTTGCTGTTATGGCTGACATACAGTAATTAGTTAAACATTAAATGTTTCTGAAACACTGGCTGGACCTTTACTGTAGTGGGTTACATTGTAAATTTAAGAAAATGCATTTTCGTGGCACTAATTCCAGAACCAAGTCATGTCATGCTCTCAACTTTCTTGCTCTTCTCTTAGCGTCAAACTGTCTGTGACGTACTTCCAATTGCCACTGCCACTTTGCTGTGTGTTTTTTAAAACACCCTTAAGTTACTGTCAGTGAAACAATTCCAATATGCTGCAAATTGAAGTTGTCATTTTTTTAACTGCATACTTCAGCAGAAAGTGTTGAATTAAATGTATGTCATCTTAACAGCGACTAAAAAGACATTACTATAGAAAAACTAAAAAACATTAGTAGATTGAAAGGACATTTCTGTGACAGAGGAGTCAGAGAGGTGTATGACATGACGTGTTACTGGAATTGGTGCTGTAGAAATGCAAATTTTACAACTTCTAAGTTTGCATGAACAGCAACTCGAAAGAAATGAAAACAGAAAAAACATATTTATAAGAAAGGGGAAATGAGACCCTGGGCGATGCCGGATAATTTTTGTATATTGGTATCAGTATATGCTACAAGAAATATACGTAACAAGAAATGTCAGTAGAGAAATGTTTCTGAAGTCATTTGGAAATGGTGACTTCATTTTAAAGTTTGTCCACCAGAGAGAACTAACGCATTGTAAATGCAGCGAGGGGAGATCTGAGGATACATGTCAGCCACAAAAGCTAAAAATGACGACAAATCTACTGCTAAATTAAACGTTTCACACATCTAAAACTGATTTTGCTCATCAAAGCGTGTAAATAGGTTGTTTAAAAGGGTGGAAGGAAGACGGGGGGGGGAAAACAAAGACCTAGCATTGTTACAGAGGATAAACATGCAATGCATGCACACATTTTTTTCACATCTAATCAGTGTAGTCAAAAAAAGAGCACTTTCACTTGACAGCTTTGCCCTCATTTCATTGTGCGTAGAAAAGGAAGTTAGCTAAAAATAGTGACGACAGTTCTTATAATGTAAAAAAAAAAAAAAACTTCAGCTGGGTCTCAAACCTCAAAACAGTTTTTGGAACTGGCCAAAAAAAGTTGTTTAAATATTTATGTTTTTGTGAACACAACTTTGCATATGCTTACTATCGTTTAAGTGGGAGCTGTGCTCTTTGTTTTAATGATGGTTTCTACTTATAACATCAGGTTTATAGCTGATACTCAATGCAGACAGTAAACAAAAGGTTGATGACAACAGCCTTGAATGACAGATAGTACAGAACTGCAGAAGGAAGTGTAACGACAACTAAAGAGAATTCATAAAACACTAACGACATACAAAACTCTCGTTGAGCTATATCGTTTGACACGTGATTCAGTGTGGCCGGCAGCAGTTGGGGTGTAGTCCCACTGCTGTTGACAGCTGCGTTGAGAAAAACTGGACAACTAAAAACTGTGACCAAAACACCTATGGGGCGGACAGCAAGAGCAACACCAGGGCAATGCTCTACATTTTAATCTATTTTTAAGCATGTTAAGGAGGTGTATTAAACGTAAAATCGGGTGTTGCTCTTTCCATAAGTCATCTGTAAAAAAACCTAAATGTTATATCATCAGTAATGTACAAAAATGATACTCAGCCAAAACGTGTAGCTGTACTGCATGTGTAGTCCAGCAGTGTAACATGTGTCCTGGTTTAGTAACCTTTAAGCAGTAACAGTGGCTCTATGTAAACCAACGTTGCCGGCTCATGTGCAGAGACAGTAAAGGAGTGGTTAATAAAGCATCTGTGGCAAACAGAAAGAACATTAAAATTCCCAAACGCAAAGTGCACTCATATTCACACAAGTATAATACAGTAACACATTCCCCAGGAGAAAATCAGCACAAGCTTGAAAACAAAATCTCACAAGATTTCCTGTTGCGTTGCCACCACCTGAGTCCCTCCAGTGGGGTGCAGTTATTACAGGGGGAGTACACTTCACATCTCTTTTCACAAAATACATTTAAAAATCAGGAGATTCTTTTCCACTTTCTTGAGTAAGAAAGGTCTGTTCTCTCAAACAGCGGGCAATTCCATCTCATTTTAAATGTCAGCTCGTCAACTTTGAACATAGTGGTCACATCCAGAGTCCCTCGGTGTTCTCGTTCTGTCTTTCAGTGGGTCCAGTTCCAGTTCAGCCCCCCGCCCCCCACCTTTACAAAAGACCAATTAACACCAAGACTACAACGTCTTCCAAAAATCTAGAAATTCTGCAGTTTCTATTTTGTTTTTCTTCTCACTACAGTTGTTTTGGAGTGTTGTGCCATCACTTTGTGTTGTGGGCAGGTCAGTAGTTGTGTACAGGTCTCTCCTTCTGGTATCTACAGAGGAGAGTGTTGAAGGGTGGGGTGAGGTGCAGGTCTTCAAGCCTCGGAGCTCAGGGAGGTCCGTGTGGGACTGGGAGGGAGGCGAGCTGCTGCACTGTGTTCTGTGCGGAAACTGTAATCATACTGACAGAGGGAGAGTCGCCCATTATTACCTTGTAACATGGACTGACAGAAATCATCCCATTCTACACCGAATCAAACTACGATTAAGTCAAAATGTCTGTGTTTCACAAGAACAATAAAGTAGATGAAACAGTAAGGAACACAATGGCCTCTGGTGGACACAGTGTGTAATTACAGGAACATTTCCATTAGCTGGGACCAGAAAATGACAATGATTACAGACATGTGCATTTCCAACAACAGACGGGAAATCTCAAGTATAAAAGACAATACCTGTTTCCTACCACTTGGTTCTTTATAGTAACACTGTTACAGCAAGTAATGAGGGAATGGAAATCTCCTTAAATACTAGTAGAACTGTAGTAACTCCAACTCGACTACATTCGTTTACCCACCTCTTTCTCAATTTCAGCCAGTGACTTGATTGTGATGCCCATCAGATCCACTTGCTGCAGCTGAAGATGGAGAACAGTGACAGTTTCCCAGTTAGCTGAAGAGATTCACCTTCAGTAGTCTAGTGTTTCCTTTCTACATATTGCTTCTATACTTATGTCCAATCTGCTGCACTTGCAGAATATCTGCCAGGCACACATAACAGATACGGTAATAATAGATTAAGACTGTAGATTGAGCAAAAGTTTCTTATCTTGAGTAGAGGTGTTAGAGCACACAGCTGAACATCTTTGCTATGCTATAAGAAGATAAAATGAGTTACAAAATGTTAAAAAAGTTATCTTACATCAGACGAGGCACAGGCAAACTTCTCAGAGATCATGAATGGCACTCCATCCATTGCTGAAAAATACAAGTCATATAATGGCTACATGAATGTTTCTTTTGCAGCTGGACCAAAGAAATCACAGAAATAACACATTCATTCAAAAGTCAACCATCCATCCATTATCTACACCGCTTATCCCTGAAGAGGGCTGTGGGAGGGCTGGAGCCCATCCCAGGTGACACTGGGCGAGAGGCATCAAAAGTCAACCAAACACTTCAAAGAATAACGATCACTCAACAATACATTTACATATGTAACAAGAAGATGCAGTGACACTTCAAAGAATAACGATCACTCAACAATACATATGTACCAAGAAGCTGCAGTGATTTGTGCATAGAGAATGGCTGTTTTAACAGGGTCACACAGTTCATCATTCTGACTGACTGTATTCTAAGTAAAGCTGATAAGTGAAAGGCTGCTGCTTTAGGATAATAAGGATAATCACCTTTATTTGGCCAAGTATGTTACACACAAGGAATTTGTTTCCGGTACAGAACCGATGGCAGCCATCTGTGGCGCCAACTCAACCGATGGCTCTAACCATTGGGGGCAACAGGGGGGTTCAGTGTCTTGCCCAAGGACAATTCGACATGTGGATTGCACCGAGATTCAAACCTTCAGCCTTCTGGTTGGAAGACGACTGCTCTACCCACCGCACCACTGTCACCTCCCCTTACTTTGATGGCTTTGCTAATACCAATTATGTTAAAGCCAATGTGAGAAACTGTGTAGCATTTAAAGTACAACTTTAAACACACTACCAGCATCATGTGTGATGTGTTTGGCTGACACATTTCAAAATGATATTTGTGATTTTGGGGAGAGGATGTTGAGAAGAAGACAATATCAAACTGTTTCTGACCTGAGATAGCATATAGGTTGGAGTTCTGGTGCTCATAGTCTGGTCTGGTAGTGTTCTTGCCTCTGAAGCTTGCTGGGAGGGTCATGGAAATATGCCTTAAGACCGGGAAATGAAAATCAAGCATTTGTTTAGTCCAGTGAAGAAAACAATGATTATACTGTATGCATTCACCCTCTGATGCAAATTGATGTTAAGTGATGTGACTTTGGAAAGCTTTAATAATCGGATTTCTTTGACCAAGAACTTGTTAGCAGGACTTATTTCCAGGTTTCTTGGGGTGGCCGATACCACAGATACCTCCTCCTGTAATCCTGTGTCCAGGTAATGACTTGCCTGTGTGTGTTAGGCAGCTGATATCTTAAATATGCAAATGTGAAACAGCTACACCAGTCAAAAGTTTGGAACTGTATAGGTATTTAACAACATGGAAATCAAAACTTTCTTATTTCAAACTATTAGCAGGTTAGAAATGTGTAGTGTTGACACTAATTTTAATTAGAATGCTTTATGCAGGATATTATCACCATTCAGGTGATAACATCAGGTGGTCAAAGTGTTCTGACAAATCCACGATGCAATGTAACTTAGAAATTCAACTTCACAGCAACCAATTTTCATTTTGCTCAACATCAGCAGCAACAATAAAGACAGAGGTTTCTTGCTGACAGCATCACCTTTTCCTACTTCCCTATGATCTGATTATAGATCTGTTTCCCTTGAGGATAAGATGTTCAAGGACAGTGAACATCCTCTTTCTTGGATTTAGGACTGAGTAACATCTCAGTCATGTGCGTAACTGCGGCATATGTGTGAACATTTTTGATAAATCAGGATGAATCAGGTGCGTGTAAGTGCACACATATACAAACAAATTATTAGAGTGGACATACTTGGGCATAGGAGCTGTTGGAACTGAGGCTGAGCTGGAGGAGGAGTTCACATTCTGGATGTTGTTGGTGGCTGGTGTGTGTGTGGATTCCTGGGCCCGAGGTACGTTCCCCATGCGATACCAGATCCCCATGTTGTTGAGTTCACTGTCAAACAAGTTAATAAGCTTCAATCTTTTTTTTTTTTACCAAGTCAAATCTTGACACTTAATCCTTTGGCTTTCACAAATCAAGTCTTAAATGAGTCAAGGGTCAAGCTCAATAGCAGCCAAATCCATGGGGTGAATGTAGTGCAGTTATTATTCTTAAGTGTGTTTTAAGATTTACAAATGAACATTTTGTGCACTGGAAAAAAATGTTTGTACTTGCATCTCAATACCTGTGCACATAAATCTATATGATAAATGCTTTTATTTATATCTGAATATTTGTGGACTAACAACTAAATTCACATTTGTAAATGTGTATCAAGAACGATACTTGTGTTCTGAGTAGAAATCTTCATTTGCACATCTGTCAGTCTCATCTTGTGGATACAAATCCTCTCATGCACACGTCTTTTTTGTACAGTTTTCTAGTAAAGGCAAAGTAAAAAATTTCACGTTCAAAACTATGCTCTCAAATGCACATTATTATAAGACAAATGTGAATGTGTCTCTTTGGCCCATTGGCCTTAGATTCCATTCCAAAATCGTATATTTCTGTTTCCCACTGTTTTTGAGGCAGGCTGCCATGATATCAATATTGACCGCCACATATTGATTTAAAATCTTACTTCAGTGTAGCACAGTGTGTAGTGCCTGTATTCACACAGTCCCTCCATGCCCTATTTCTTTCTCTCTCTCTCTCTCTCTCTCTCTCTCTGTCTCTCTTGCATACGCACGCAAACTCATGTTGACAGACCATCTGTGAAGAGCTCCTCCTTTCTGTCTTTGTTTTTACACAACTATGTCAATCATGGAGAGTCAACACTTCTAATATGTACTAATATGCAAATATGCAAGCAAGCTAGTATAATACAGCTGTGGCCGAGGTCAGCAAACTGAATGTATGGACAGCTCCGCAAGTGGATAAACTTAATGCTGGTTCAGAAGCTCTGATGCTGAATGTTTGGCCCCTCAGTTCAGGGGAATAACGAAAAACACATGGGAAAGCTGATCAGTCTGTTTGTTTTGAATATTTACTGGTTTCAATCAGTGCTGCTGAAGCAGAAAGAGAGGGTCAGGGAGAGAGAGCTGAAGAGAGACATGTAGGAGAAGGGCAGCAGCCAACACGCAGCATTTATTACATCCATGTTTACTAGCTTGCAGTCTTCTTCCCTGCCTTTACTGGTGCATTGCAGCACCTGTTGATAAGTGGAATAGTGTGACACCATTGGATAGGAATGTGTATTGCATCACCAGCATGTGCTGCACAAGATAGACTAAAACACAACACTATTAGATGTCAAAACAGCAGAGCTTTAGATTTTTTTCTATTGACAAGTTTACAACCAATACTAAAATGTGATCCCAGGCTGCTCACCCAATGAATGTGTACTGGGGGGGGGCCTGCTTGGAGCGTCCAAGGATGCGGATGTCACAGATGGCTGCTTCTGTGGAGTCCCGTGGAATAAACTTAATGCAGAGCCGTCGCTTCCTGAAGGCCTGTTCCTCTGTGGGACATATAAGAAAAGGACAGGGGGATTTGTTGGGTTTTCCCTCTGTAATAATATGATAACAGTAAGGTCTAGCTCTTACTTTGTAAAGTGTCCTGAGATGACTTTTGTTGTGATTTGGCACTATACAAATAAAATTTGATTTGACAAAGACTGAAATTCACTCCTCTGCATCAACTGCAAATTAATGCCCAAGAGGTTCTCTGAAGTCTTTGTGAGATTTTGTTTCTAACTACCAGTGCCTTTCTTCTTGAATCAATAACTTACGAGTGTCAACTGTCTCCTGGATCGGGATGAAACCAACGGGCAGAGTGTCTTTTATATCTATCAGCTTCATGTCCACAAGAACATTGCCCAAATGGCTCTGGAGAGAAAGGGACAGAGGACGGTGGAGAGAGGGGAACAAATGATAGGAAAGAGAGAGATTATAAAGGAAAACAGGGGAGGAAAAATAATTAAAGGAAATGGGAAAAGAGTGAAGATCAATTTGAACTAGATGGTTAGTATGTATTACATAATAATTTCATGTGCACAGCTAGTAGTTGAAGTGAGTTCATCATCATTAGGAAATCAAGCAAGCTCTCATTCTCAGTGGTGCCCTGACATACAATTAACACCTTTGAAACAGTAAAACATAAACGTGTGATTATATAAAATCAGCATGAAAAATCCAAAATCAAAACATAAAAAAAAATATATATACACACACACACACACACACACACACACACACACACACACACACAGAAACAGTGTAAATAACATCATATTCAAATACAGTGCCCAAATTATATGTTACACTCACATTTAAACTGTAAAATACTATATAAAAGCAGTTTAAATTGAGATAAACTTACATTTTCTTTAGAAAAAGCCCTGGTAAAGCAGAGGTAGCGGGTCACCTTGGATTTGAAAAGGCCATCTTTCCACAGGTCAGCATCCAGGCCATCTGTTGTTGTAGAGACCTGAAAGCAAACAGTCAAGGGAGTCATCAGACACACAAAAATTACAATATAATACAGACAATATTAAAAGATCGGATTGCATCAGGCCAAAAAAACTGGATTGGGATATCCCTAATAATTACATAACATCCACTGCACCTTTACACCTGCTCTGCAGTTTTTCTGTGCCCATCATTGACTGGCGCCTTTGGCACCTTTGTTTCATGTGTCGTATTTGGGCAATGTACAATTTATTACTACACTATAAGTGAAACATAAGCATGTTTCAGATCTTTTACTTAATATATTTTTATCTTCATTTTATGTATTTTATCTTATTAATTCCGCCAGGGGTGGGGGTTATGTTTTTGCAGCTTCAAGAATAACTTTGGAGTGAATCTAAATGACAAATTATTATGAACCTGTTCTGAGTTGTTCTGACTTACCACATCATATCCAGTGGGTGCCCTGTTCCTGGAGGCTACTACTCCAACTCCAGTAATTGGGTCCATGGGCATCTCTGGCAAAGCTTCAGAAAGATCCCGAACCTCAGGCATCTTTGTCGAGTTCTGCAACAAAAATTAAAAACACTGTTTTATCGCCCAGTCCCAGCCAAATCATATAGTAACCCTAATGTCCATGCTGTTTCTAAAACTCATGACAAGTTTCTGTGGCAATGGACTCTCATGTCTTCTTGTGCAACTCTGCAATTTTCTCACAGGGCTCCAGACTGCAACCATTTAGTCACTTTTTGCAGCCAATTTTTAGCAACAGCGCGACTACATCTTATTACTAGGCACACCTAATATCTGAATAGTCGGATCCAGCCCCTCTTTTCTCTCTGTTATGTGAGTTGAGAATAAAAGAGTAAGACCTAACTGGTAAAACACACTGGGAACATTTTTGGAAGTATTTTCTACACTCATCTCCCGCCCATCTCACACTGCAGATAGAATTCCATTATATCAAATGAGTCAATCCACAGTTAATCCAAGAGACATGCCTCTCCCGTAGAACCTTCATGTTTTTTTTTATGCTTCATGCCTATTTTTTCCCCTCTGCTGCATTTAGTGAAGCCTAATCTCCACAGCCATCTGTTAGGACTGATCAGGCTGACTGAATTTCACTTTCACTTTCTCCCTCTGTAACACGCCAGGGAAAATCAATAAATCCGTGGGCTTACCTAAAAATGCAATTTCTTCTCGATGACCTTACATGAAAACAATTTTTGTCCACTACACTTGTGTTGTTGGTTGGCCTGGTCAAGACTCTTTGTGCCACCGCTGTCCTGCTGACACACAGACAGCGGTTCTGATAACCTTAAACACACACAACACGCTGCTCACATCTTGCTTTCAGTGTGGATTGAATGGAACCGTGCTTCTAATGTGTTTTATCAATAAGGGGCACAAGAACTTAGGAGTGACTGCTGCATGCTCAAGTGAATGGCTCTGGAGGAGAAGAAACATGTATCACTGGGGCAAAGACAGGTAAGCGTAAAACTAGTAGAGCAGATTGAATTGTAAGTTCTAACATTTATGCGTAGCATAACTTAAATTGAGGTAAACTAGCAAGATGGGCTTGTTCACACATGCTTGATTCAGCCTTGAGGCCTACTTGTCTTGCTTGTGAAAGCATTAGCAAGCTAACACGAGGTTAAAGTGCGCATTAGCAAGCTAACATGAGGTTAAAGTGGAGTTTTGGCTGATTTGTTGGAGCAATTATCAAGACACGGTGGATACTGGTTAATTGTGAGGTGCAACACTTGTTGCAAACAGGCATGCAAAAGCACAACAAAGTTGTGGAGTACAGTAAAACCTAATGGATCAGAAGCAACAACTGACAGATGCACCAGCACCTGCAGCACATGATGACAGCCCATGTACTGGATACTCATGCATGTGAGTAATTGGATATACACGACATGATGAAAAGTCTCAAGTGTGAAACCCAAGCGTAGGAACAGAATTAACAGAAGGTAAGACCAATTTTTCATGCACTGCCACAGTACAACAGGCCTAAATGCACATTAGCCTGTTACCTGTCTGTCTGATGACACTTGCTCTGCCTGTAATTATGTAAATGGATTATACTCTTATCAAGATATTTTGTAAAGCTGGCTTTCACAACAGCCAGTGCCTAGCTGCTACTTTGTGTATGCCTGCTGTTAGATAATAGCCTGCTTACAAGTGTAGTTGGTTGATATTTTATCATCAATACAATGTTTATTGTGTAAATCGTCTTTGCTATGAGCTGGTGCACAGCTGCTGTTCTCTCTGTGTGTGTGTAGCCCGTATTTAGTGTTTAATTAGCCTACATGATTCCTTTCATAGAGAAATACTTTACTGTATGTTCAAAGTATACAGCATTTTTAATAATCACATAGAAGAACATACACAACCAGTTTTACTGTAGGTTTATATACTTTAACCTGATCTTTTACATATGTGTGTTTAGGGTGGTGTGACCCACCCCAAACAGCATCCCCCGACTGAAACATGTTCCCACGGCTGTCTGCTGGGCCAGGCCTGCTCAATTGTGTAACCACCATCACTGTATAACTGGATCCACTAGTTTCACAAATGGAAAATTAATAATCACAGAAAACTTTAAGCAAATGTCAAGCGCTTTGTTGTGTTAGGTATTTTTAGGCCCCTTGGGAATCCTATCCCCTGATCTCCCTCACTGAGCCCGATGAGAGAGAGATTGAAGAGCTCCATGGACCGGAGTGAAGACCGTGGATCCTACATAAACTAGCTAAAGGTTAATACATATTGACATATAAATGCATACACGTAGGTGGTGTGAACTCATAGGTGGTTGAATG